AAGTTAAGTTATAAAGTTAAGTTATAAAGTTAAGTTATAAAGTTAAGTTATAAAGTTAAGTTATAAAGTTAAGTTATAAAGTTAAGTTATAAAGTTAAGTTATAAAGTTAAGTTATAAAGTTAAGTTTTTCCTGATAACTTGCTTTGATGGGAAGTTTAAAACAATAGACTTAACTCGTAATTTTCAAGCATCACGAAAATTATGTGCAAATTACCATAATATATAATACTTCATTTACTTTATCAAATTATTACCATACGATTCGCGCCCGTCTCAGAAAATTTTTTCGCGAAAGATCGCAACTCGCGATTTCAAGGGGGAAAAAAATATTTTTACTGGGTTTCCCGCAGATGAGATTTTTTTTTGTTGCTAAAATCTCCGCAAGCGCGCGTCATCAGCCGTTATCATCAGCCATTATCATCAGCCGGTGTCAGGGAGATTCTTTATCCCGGGTCGGATTAGAGTAACGCAAAGACGTGATCATCCCTTTTTAGGATGATGAAAGAAAAAATCCTTTCCGGGGGGGATTGGATCCCCTTCTGCGCCGTCGGTAGCTCCTTTGTCGAAAGGTCAGGTGCAAAATAAAAAATATATATACATATATATATATTTATAACTTTCCAGGCGAAAGTTTCTCCCTTTTGCAAAATGTTTGGCGACGCCAGTTGTGCTAATCCATCGTGGATGGACGCGAAATCTTCCGTGATTTTTCATGAAGCTCATTCCAGTATGAATCTCGGATGAATGGGAAACCTTGCCGGGTTGGACCAATTGGCCTAGCCGGGTTGGACCGATTGGCCTAGCCGGGTTGGACAGCGAGTCTACTCTGAAAATGCCCAATTGGGAGTTTTCGAATTTCCAATCAATTTTATCGCGGTTTTCTTTCGCTTGATTTGGTTTTCGAGAAAACCAAGGTGGTGTTTCGTAGCTTTTCGAGTTTCGGTTAACAAATTACAAACTACAAATTACAAATTAACTATTTGGCCCATGGAACAGGCCCGAGAGGGCCTGCCGATTCAGAAGGGAATCGTCTCGGCGAAACAGTCAACAGTTGGACGAAGAAATTAACCAGGTCGATCCAGTAAAGTCGATTCTCCTTGACTTGCCGATCAGAATTCAAACCGTCGACATGTGACAATGGGAAATACAAGGAATTAAAAGCGATCGCAACACCAGCCGATTTCTCATCGTTCACGATGCGAATGGCATTTACCGCTGACCGATGGTCTCTTTTTCTCGTGACGTGCTTTCATCTTCATGACGGTGTGAATGACGGATGAATGACGGTTGTGTGAACGACGGGTGATGACGGATGAATGACGGTTGTGTGAATGACGGATGAAGGTTGTGTGAATGACGGATGAATGACGGTTGTGTGAATGACGGATGAATGACGGTTGGGTGAATGACGGTTGGGTGAATGACGGTTGGGTGAATGACGGATGAATGACGGTTTGGTACATAACCGTCATTCGCAAAACCTTGACTGTGTCTAAGTTCAGCTGGACGCGTTGTGATTCCCCGTGCAAGTCGATTGCAGCTGCAAGAAGCAGTTGGAAAATGGTTCGAGCTTTGATTTCCGGAAATATGAGGATTTATTAAGGGGATTTGGAGTCTCCCTCGGGGGGGATGAAGGATTTCGACGAACCCGTCGCCTGGTGACATGAAACTCCAAGTCCCTGGGAGGATTTTGAATCTCCCTGACTCGAAAGTTCTGCTTCTCGCGATTTTCCTTCCCTGTGTCAAGTGTGAAGAGAGAGAAACTTGGACGACAGGAACGAGACGGCGGGAACGAGACGGCGGGAACGAGACGGCGGGAACGAGACGGCGGGAACGAGACGACGGGAACGAGAGATCTTGACGGTGTAGCTATACCAATGGGGATACAGGATCCGTCTGCAAGGGCATCAGTTCGCTTCCATTTGGAGCCGAATTTCTCTTTCAATATGCTCGGGCGAAAATACGAAGCTCAATTTCACTTCAGGGTGACTTCATTCATTTTCCGCCTTGGAATAAATGAAAGGACGGAAGCAGTGGCGGCAAAACCGGTGCGATGAGAGGATTTTTTTCTAAACCTCCTGGTTTAATCGAAATAGCAAATTCCACTAGGGATAGATAACTAATCCCCTCTAATTCTACGGATTACGACGCAGAAGTGCCTGAGATTGCAGCGCCTAGCATTTCCGAAACTTGACAGGAAACCAGCTCCAAGTAACGCATGAACTTTCTCGAGGCCGTTTCACCCCGTGTTCAAAGAGTTTTTTTTTTTGGGGACCAATGTTCATGGATGAACAACTTTTGGGGGCTTTCATTCATCACCAATACAAGGCCATTTCGAAGGACAATTGTTGGACCTTAAAGAGACGCTTCCTCTGCGATCCCTCTGGAAGTGGTTCGCAAGACCGATGCCAGATGGCACCAAAGTCACCGGTGGATTAAGTACCCGACGCGGCTGGGGTCAGGGGATGCAGGGAGGATCCTCCAACTTCCAACTTCATTCTGATGCGATTGACCTAGGAAATCGTCGCTAACAGAGGAATTCAGAACGTCTTCTAAGTCGTCAACAGGAGGTCGGCACGGAAGAAGCGAAAAGCCCCCAAAAGTACCAAAAGACCCAAAACAAGAGGAAAGTTGATGATGGTGCTCTGGAAAGAGACCCGACCGGAAAAAAGAAGGAAAGCCAGACCAATACGAGTCCTGCTATATTGTGATTCATCTGGCTTCTCTTCTTTTTGTCCTGAATTCTGTTCGGGGAATGCATCGCCCTGGCTAATGCAATTCCCACTCGCATCGGTAATGGATAGCTTCGGTAATAAGTAGCCTCATGGGCAATCAGGGGATTAGATTAATTGCGAGCCGGATCACCGGTCGATTTTTTCCTTCGGAACTGGAGTCTCTTTCAGGCCAATATTCAGGTCAATATTCAGGCCAATATTCAGGCCAATATTCAGGTCAATATTCAGGCCAATTTAAAATTGTGTTATCGGTCCAACCTCTCGACGCTCTTCGCACTGCAAACGACCTCATCGAAGCCAGCATCTAGATCGCCATCTATTTCGAATAGATGCGATTCCGCTCCCGCTGCGAATGCAACCGCCTGGAAAGTTCACTTCAGGCGGCATTTCAATCTTCCATCTGCATCCATCTACCATCTACCATCTTCCAAAAAAAAAGGTTTCTCCACGACTGGCGCCGAAAGTGGGAGAGATTCTCGGATTCCCCATAGAAATCGAGGGACCTTCGCAAACGTCCTTTACTTTGGACCGATTCAAGGGCATCTCTGAGGACATTGTTCGAAGAAGCAATCTTCCCATCCGACGATCTAACGCAGCGCATAATATTAATCAATTATTTTCTTAAAAATTATTGGTATAGTCATCATGGATTGTCGACAAGGTATTATTATTGTTATTAATAAAATGGTATGGTGCCATGGCGATATCGAAAACTGCCGAAGGGGCTGGTATGAAAATCTGGAGTACCGAATAACAATGATATAGTTTTAACATACCTAGGTATACTAATATAAATAAGAGTAAAAGATGTCCTTTTGGAGCTGGTCCAATTGGCCAAGTAGGCAATTGCCTGGCCGGGCAGTCGATTGCCCCGGTATGTAATATAACTATATACTTGATAATATAATAGCTGCAATGATAAGTCATTAAATAATTATGGTACGCAGCAAAAATTGATAGGTGAAGAAGCTTCCTCTTGCATCATCGGAGAAAAATGTAAAAAAGGGCGATGAAAACAAATTACTGCGATAAGATAAGTGTTGATTCCCTCGATACGGGTTGCCACTCCATCGGCGTCCGTTGGCGGAAATCGCGGACTCGCGGGAGAGGAGGCGATGGGATCGCGGTGGGACGAGTGGCTCTGCGGCGAGGAGACGCTGGAGGGCGAGACCGGGATCGGCGGGGCGAGGTGAGTGCGAATGTTTTGGTGGTGAGGTTCACCTGCTAGGTGGATTTGGATCCAGGTGGATTTGGATCCAGGTGGATTTGGATCCAGGTGGATGTTCCCGAGGGAGTATTTCCGCCTGTTGGGGTGATGACAACCTGGTTTAAAATTCACCCCGGGGGGAGCATCCACCTGGTTCCAAATCCACCTCCAATTCTCCGGGTCGTTCCGTTTTGTGAGGGGAGATCTGCCGTTCTCTTGCGATGAAGGAAAGGGACTTTCCGTCTTCCGTGGGGGGTCCCGTGTCTAGCCAGAAAGGCGGACGATGAACCAATTTTTTTCTTTAAGTAGTGAATCCGCTAGAAACACATGATGAAAAGGAAATGCAGAGTGCAGAACTCAGGCGACTCTGGGACGACAGGAAACAATGCATGAATGATGGATGGAGATTAGGCAGGAACAAGCTACGGTGCCCCACTTCCTTTTCCACTTAATCACCCAAAATCCTTTATTAATAAAAAAATAGAAAAGGAAGAGAACGGTCACACTGCTACTTTCGCTTCATCTAATTTATACATCCTGTCCTTATGAAAAAAAAATATTGGCATTCTTCAGAATTCCAAATTGATTTGGATTTGAGGAAAAGAACCAGTAGACGGGAGCAAGAGAAAGACCAGGTAAGTTTTCAGGTTTTTCTCTGGGGTTACATTCCATGCAGAGTTTGGGGGGGGGGGGGAAATCGTCCCGGCTAGACGAATTAGGCAATGTGCCATTTGCGTGAGAGGCACTCATGAACATCTTGAAGAAACGCAATCTGCTCATCAATTTAGATTCAAATGTTTATTACCTCGAAGGGGGGGGGGGTTCTCTCGAAATTACTCGAGTGGCAATTCCGGGTGTGGAATCGATATGCGAAATGAATCTCCTCGGCGTTTTTTTGCAACGCAGACACATTGCAATGTCACGGGAGCCTTCCACGACCGACACGAAGGAAGAAGCGGTGGAAGCGTGCCGGAACGAGTGCTTCTACTGTCGCAAAAGTCTCACGGAAGAAAACGCGACTGTTGACTACCTCATCAAAAAAAAGTGAGTCCGCAACGAATGCATTTCCAAGTGGTAATTGGACTCGCAGAAGGTTCTGGGTCGCATTTTCCCAAATAAAGAGAGTCCTATGAAAAAGCGACCGAAGAAGACCAGAAACAAACATAAGCGGAAAAAAGGAAAAGCAGTCGGAATTTTCTCGAATGCATCCGGACATGACGCAGACCGTTTTGCAATTCCATTCTTCCCTTCTCGATAACGGTGGTAGAGGCAAAGATAGCCTCTTTACTATGCCATGCGAGGGCGAAGGTCAACCTCTTCACGGCGAGAGATCTGAATGTCTTTCAGGAATGGATGCAATTCCGATCCAGTCGCATGCTGCCTCGACTGCAAGCGGAAGAAAGGCACGAGGCGGGCTAATACATTCCAAAGGAAGATCCTCCTGAAGACACCCCGATGCCATGGGTTCACGGAGGACGGATTCAGGTGCCAAAACCCGGAAGCAAGTGGGACTCCCACTTTCTGTATTGAACACCACAAAAGGTAAATAATGAAATTGCTAGCGGATGACATAGACTTTCCCCCCCCCCTTTCCCTCTTCCTTGAAAACTCTTCAAAGATAGTCCCTGTTTTTCCGTTTCCACCTTTTCCTCTTCCGCTTTCCAGCTGCACAAGTTCGAAATCGGGGACAGGTCAGCTTTTAACACAGCTATTTTCTCTCACCGTCATATTAGAGGCTGCAGGCCTGGGATATTCGGATATAGAGTATGGAGTCCGAAACCGACAGGGGAAGAGTCCATATCCTAGTTTTTATGAGGTCTTGATATTTCATATCGTCTTTTTATCAAAGAAAGTTCTCAGAATTCATTATGTAAAAAAAAAAAAAAAATCGTAAGGGAGATTTGGATAATTGGAAAGAATCTGTAAAGAATATCCTAAGGTAGATATACCTTTTATTTTTACTAGTGGAATGTCAGTTTCGTGAGAAGCACAGAAAATGATTATAATTTCCATCGTTCAATTTTAAGGCCGATCTTGTCCACTATGAATCTCAATGGTCAAATATTAGAAAAATATTTCCTTCGGATTGATTTTGAAACATACTTAGAGACTTCCTGGCAGCACGCTTTGGTCTGTTCAGTTCAATTCAATGATGGAAGGTCATATCCCTAAGAAACAACCATGGACATGTCAAAGAAATACGATTTGCTAATCAATGGCCATTTCCTCTCGTCTGACTTCATGGAAACGAAATGAGGAAGGTGAAAATAATAGATGATGATAAGATATGTGTCAAATGCCTTGATAGGGCTCGATACCATACTCACAGTCCGTAACAGTGAGTCCATGCGAGGAATTAATTGATAAATTCCCTCCGGTGATTTTCGAACGCAGACGCATTGCAATGGAGCCCTTCACGCCCGACACGCTGAAAGAGGCGATGGAAGCGTGCCAGAACGAGTGCTTCTATTGTCGCAATAGTCTCACGGAGGAAAACGCAACTGTTGACAACCTCATCAGGAAAAAGTGAGTCCACGACAAACGCATTTCCAAATGCCATTTGCAGAAATGGGTTTAAGAATGTCGTATTTTTCCTATTTTTTTTAATTATCACATTCTTCTACTGAAGGAGTCAGTCGCTCTTAAGTCGACGTTAGGTGAAAAGCTTGTCAGTGAAAATAAGAAGGATCTTATCAAAAGCGACTGAATAATAAATACACGGAATCAAGAAGAAGAGGCTTCGCTATTCTCGAACGCATCCCAGTGTGACCTTCATGATTCCAATTTTCCTTTCATGACGACGATGTTAGAGGCCACGACGAAAACCTCTTCGCTAGATATACAACTTTTGCCATGCGAGAGGGAAGGTCAATCTTTCCACGGTGAGAGATTGGAATATCTTTCAGGAATGGATGCACTTCCGATCCAGTCGCATGCTGCCTCGACTGCAAGCGGAAGAAAGGCACGAGGCGGGCTAATGCATTCCAAAGGAAGATCCTCCTGAAGACACCCCGATGCCGTGGGTTCACGGAGGACGGATTTAGGTGCCAAAACCCGGAAGCAAGTGGGAATCCCACTTTCTGTATTGAACACCACAAAAGGTACTGTAGATAATGAATCTGAACGCTTTCCTCGAATCTGGAAGATATGTCTCGTGTACAGCGAATTATGCAATCATAGTTATCAGTAGAATATCGCCGGTTCAATATGCAGAGAACAATATTTTCGAACACGAAGAAAACGAATTGGGTTTCATATCAGATCCACCGATGCATAGTTCGTTTCGATTTAGCATCGTTTCAGCCGCTACGAAGTCCTTTTCCTTCTTCGATATCCAGCTTCTACCAGTTCGATGTCGGGGACAAATCAACTTTGAACTGGAATATATATCACTATTACCACTATTACCATGCTTACCACTATCAAGCGAAAGGCTGTAGGCATGGAGAGCAATTCGAAAATGGTAGATTTTCTATTTTTCTTTGATCTAAATTTTTTCAAATTGCCTTCTTATTAGAAGAAATTCGTTCATTTCATACTGTAAAATCATTGTTGAAACGGTAACCAATATAAGGGTAAAGGACCTATCAAAAATATATATCCCATTCGGCCCAACAACGTCGAGTCAACGTTGAGCGAAGGTTGATTTTCAACGTAGCAATGTTGCCACAACATTGCGTTATTGGTGGATTCAATGTTGCCACAATTCTGAAATGAAACACGGTTCAACGTTGAAAATACGCGCATGTGTCACGTGGTGCGAAACGCTGAATCGTCAACCTCCGAAATTGCATGCTCCTTTTCCTGAGCTTGAACTTGAGCTATTATTGATTAGAGCTCGAAAGTACTCTAATGAGTACTTGCTATCTCATGGTGGAATCCATCTGAGGATGTGACTTCCTTCACTGGATCAGAATCCGCGTCAAGTACTTGAAAGACGCAACTCATTCCGTCCAGCAAGGGAATTCCGTGCCTAGCCGTGATCTGCATGGAAGACAAATACTGGGAAGATGACCCGGCACGGTCCTAAAATAATCACCCAAGAGCCAGACACACCCATGCAGCGCCGGTTAACACGCTCTGTCATGCTCGGAACGATGCAAGGGCCCAAGTCAGCATATGAGCCCCTTGCAGAGAGGCAGGAAAATTCGGTGTGTCGCCTCGGATCCCTCGGCCAGAAGTTCCTGGAGCCTCCTTCTGCCGGAATACCTCCTCCAACGGGTCCATCAAGGAATTCCAAAGCCTTCCCTTAAGTTGAACGTGCGAAAAGATCTGACACTGCGTGAAAATTGCACAGGACTGTATTTTCCGGGGCGGCAACCTGCTGAAAAAACATCATGAGATCTCATTTAAAAAAAGGTTTTGGAACATGAGGTCTCATGAGAGGTCGGATTTTTTGTGAAGATTCTTCGGCCTGCATGCAGGCCGAGAATCGCGAAATCGGCGGCTGGACGCCATCTCTCGTCGATCGGTAGAACCTATTTTCTGTCGAGATGAAGTGGTTAACTCCACGTTGAAACAACATTGAGATTACGATAAAGGCAAGTGCAAACTACGAATTGGCACTCGATAGCTTCCAAACGGCTTCGCTAATCCTCGTATGATAGGAAATCCGATTAATTGCGAGAAGCCGACATTTCCTTAATGTCGATTGCTCGCTTCAACCTTTCTCAACCTTTCAACCGTTCGGCGACGTCGACGCGACGAAGTTGTGGCTGATGGGGTGGCATTTCGTTTGCGGAAAGGTTTCTGGTCCACTGCGGGCCTCAAGGGCCAGCCGTCGAGCGTTTCAGAGGTAGGAGAGTCCCCGAGCAAGATAGGTCGAGGAAGCACGATCGGTGTCCGATTCCTCGCTTCGTAGGAACGACACGATTTAAGTAATAGAAAAATGAACTTTCGCATTCAGAAATGGCGAACCCGCGCGTGGAATTACGAATAAAATCCCTCACGCTTTTTCCCCACGCAGGCGCATCGCAATCGCATGCGAGCTCTTCACGCCCGACGCGTCGAGAGAGGCGATGGAGGCGTGCCAGAACGAGTGCTTCTACTGCCGCGACAGCCTCACGGAGGAAAACGCAATCATCGACAATCTCAACAGAAAAGGGTGAGTACGCAACTGAAGCAATTCCCAAACGGTGTTCGAAAAACGATCTGGATCGTCACGTATTTTTCGTCACTTTCGGGCTGTGACGGAAATTTTCGAGTCGGCGTCGACGGTAGATCGTGAAGAGATCATCGACATGAGTAGGAAGGGCTCAATCGAGAAGCGACGCAAGAAAACCAGACAAACGGAGAAGGAGAGAAAAAAACTCGTTTTTGGCACATGTGGCGCAAACTCGTGTGAAACTTATCTTGCTAAAATAGAGAGATAAAGAAAATAGCGCTGGATGTGCCACTCGGCCAGAGCGAACGTCAACCCTTCGATGACGAGAGGCATAAAATTCTTTCAGCGTTCCCGATCCAGTCGCATGCTGCCTCGACTGCAGGTTGAAGAAAGGCACGAAGTCGGCCAATAAATTCCAAACGAAGACCCTCTGGAAGACGCCCCGATGCCGTGGGTTCACAGAGGACGGATTCAGGTGCCCAAGCCCGATAGCCGGCGGGAGTGCCACGTCCTGTCTCGATCACCATAAACGGTAAGTAATGAATAGAGCTGCCTCCTCCCGACGTCTAATTCCCCCATCTCTATTTTGCGAATCGAATCTTCGTTTTTATTTTTTACCTCGTAGAATTTATTGCGTACAGTGCCTCATGCAATTGCAGTTGCATATGCTGCTGCTCCAATTTCGAAGAGAAACCATGTCATAGGGGGGGGGGGGGGGGGGGGGGGGGGGGGGGGGAGTAACCGCACGCATGTTGAAACCTCTTTGCGCTAGGATTAACCAGTCGCGAATCACGAGCGTTGAAATCCGGTCGTCTCTGTGCTCTTCGTGGAATTTTCGATCATGCATCACGGTCCTGATACGTCATGAGTTTGTCCCACGAGGCCCGACAGTTGAGCAGGCTTACTACAAAGATGTTTCGATCCGTCTGCGAGAAAAAAAATTGGGAGAAAACGGCCCCAAATTTCCAAAATGAATCCTGGTTTTTGCATCACGAGAATGATCCAGCCCACACTGCTCTCACAATTCGAGAGCTTTTGGCTAAAAAAAAAAATTCCTGGGTTGCCAAACCCTCCCCATTCACCGGACCCGGCTCCGTGTGACTTTCGCCTGTTCCCCAATATTAAATTTCACCTGAAAGGAAAAAAGTTTTGAAGACATTGCATGCATCAAGGAAAATGCGACGAGGCAGCTCTTACACTCCAGGACTCCCAGCACTGCTCCCAGAAGTTGCAAGAGCGTTGGAATAAGTGTATAGCATCAAGGGAGGAATACTTTGAAGGGGACGACAATTAATTTCAATGTACTTATTAAAAATAAAGTGTACGAATAAAAGTACTGGAACTTTTTGATCAGACCTCGTATAGGGAATAGACCCCTCGACGTGTAATGGCAAAGGTCTGAGTTGCCCTTTTTTCGGGGGAGAGGGGGGGGGACTAAATCTTGTATCACCTCCATAAACAAGCATACTTTTTTGAGGTGGTTTATTCCACCTAATGGAGTCGCTCATCTAGGCTAAGAGCATCTTGGTGATGCTTAATGTGACCTTTCACGAGGCAAAAGTATTTAAAAGAAACTACTACTGATTTATCCGGATTTCAAAATTATTTTAAGCTTCAAATCTTGAAAGCGTAATTAGCATTTGGTATTTGAGGTACTCGTAATTTGTAAGGCCGACAAGAGCACGGGGGGGCTCTCCAGGCGTCATCAGGCAAATAACAGTGTCAGCGAAATGCATTCCATCGTCAGACTTAAAAAGGGCGATAAAGTGATAGGATTTGTACCGTGACAGTGCGACGGTCTTCTTTGGTAGTTACTTGATTTATCGTTTAGAGTCGGTATGACAAAATCCTTCCCTGCCATGAAGTCCACCCCTCAGGTAGCGAAATTAAACGTGTAGAGAAATCGAGACGGTCTTTTTCTGCCCAAATCATTTTCCTCTCGAATTGCATAGCTCCCAAAGTCATGAATTTGAAAAATTAGGCGAGGGGACGGATTTCTTTTAATAAAATTCGAAGTTTAGAACTTTCGCATTAATCGTAAACCATAAACTCCATGAGCATTAAACATTCCGGCTGTTCTCGTGCCCCCCCGAGAGGTCCGCAGTAGTCCGTTTATTGTCACAGTAAAATCGCCGGGGTCACACTCAGATGGTGCAAGACGACAGGCACATGGCTGCCTGGCCGGACGCCACTTCTCGGATTTTTCGGAATGAAAAATCCGGTGAGGATTTTTCATACCGAGGCGGTTCGGAATCACTCTCACCGATGGCCTTTGCGAACTCGTCGCGGGTTACTTTGCGGGGTCACAAGTCGCTCGACGGCCGAGCGACTTGTCTGAGTTTTCTCTTTCGATCGATTCTGAAGCACCTCTGAAGATTACCCCGATGTGTCGGTGCTGTTCTGCGATAGATCACGCTTGCGATGGCAGATAATAACGGGCTTGATAGGTTGTCGAATTTCCAGAATGGTGAACTGGAACGTGGGATCACTTAACGAAATCCTGGCTGTGTTCTTCCAACACAGACGCAAGGCAGTGTCGTGGGAGCCCGTCTCGCCCGAGACGGAGCGAGAGGCGATGGAAGTGAGCCAGAACGAGTGCTTCTACTGTCGAGACAGCCTGACGGAGGAGAGCGCGACTGTCGACAACTTGAACAGAAAAAGGTGAGGAGGAATGCAAATTCCAGCTGGTCGCATTGTGATGGGGATTCAGCATCGTAGTTGTGAACGGAAATCGGCAGGGTCTGCTCTGAAAGCGAATGAAGAAAGCCAGAAACAAACTAGCGGGGAAAATAGAAAAAAGTTCACTTTTCTAAAGCACAAATGGGTATAGCCTGTTTTACAAATTCAGACTTCCCTTCGAGATAAACGAGTTGGAAGCCACCCTGGAGATTCACTATTTACACCATTCTTGCCGCGCGAGAGTAAATTTCTACTACTTGATGGTGAGAGATTTGAAATTCCTTCAGGAAGGGAAGAACTGCCGATCTAGTCGCATGCTGCCTCGCCTGCAAGACGAAGAAAGGCACCATGCGGGCTGACACATTCCAAAAGAAGATCCTCCTGAAGGCACCCCGATGCCAGGCGCTCACGGAGGACGGATTCAGGTGCCAAAACCCGGAAGCAAGTGGGAGTCCCACTTCCTGTCTTGATCACCGCGAAAGGTAGATAATGAAGGAAACAGACGAATTCGGATTGCCCTTTTTTTTTTCTGCTTCACGAAATCTCTCATCGAATCTGATTTTTTCATCGTTTGCCCCTGACTCTATCCAATCACTGTTTGGAATAAGTTGCTGTTCTGAATTGAAGAGAGCCGTGTCTTCGAACTTGAAACGAAAATTTTGGGTTTCCTACCATATCCATCGCTACTAAGATGGTTCAGGTTGAATAATTTTTAAAACTCCGTTCCCGGTCCCCGAAATGATACGGTGACAGATTGCCGATTCAGAGAGTTGCCTCACATATGCAACTATTAGAAGTCCCCAGTACCTCTCGAAAGGTACTTGTTCTTTCCTCCACGAGCAGCACCGGGAAAGGTATCACGATTCCTCGACGTATCCGACGTAACAGACAATCCACCCCAGCGATTCCCAGGGCAATTCCGAGTCCGAGAATGGCGATGATAGCACCAGTGCAAATTTGCGAAATTTCCCCGACTGCTCTGGGATTCCATTCAAGACCGCCTTCGTCCCCTGCTGGCCTCGATCGTCATGAATCATTTTCCGCTTTTGCCTTCAGATCGATTCCAAGGCATATCTTAAGACTGTCTGAACACGTGCCTCGGTCCTTTCCGCGAAAAGCCACTTTATTGTTGGTAGATAATAGCATCATGTTCTAAGCGGCAATCAAAAACACATACAGGAATCATAGCCTGATGAGCGATAACCGTTTCCTCTCGCCTCACTTCATCGGGACGATATGAGGACGATTAAAATGATAGCGATGCGATAGGTGTCCATTCTCTTGATAGGGCTTAGGCTGTCAACATTCAGAAAAAGTAACTTGTCTAGGGAATCGGAGAGTGAATGAAATCCACACCCACAATAAGGTTGAGTCTGCGCAGCGACACAGCACCCTCGGGCAGTGCGGGCTCTGCTTCTCTCTCCGCTACCTTCGCACGGTCTTGCTCACGAAGATGACAGCGTTGACAGAGTGCCTCCTTTTGGCGACAGTTGACAACCTCGTCAGAAAGTGAGTCTGCATCGGATGCATGACCACGATGAAGACCCCAGCTCGATCTAGCTATGGTTCAGGGAATTTTCATCGATACAGAGAATTGAGAGTTTCATTTCTTTCAGGAATGGACGCAACGTCGATCTAGTCGCATGCTGCCGCGACTGCAGGTTGAAGAAAGGCACGAAGTCGGCCAATAAATTCCAAAAGAAGACCCTCTGGAAGACGCCCCGATGCCGTGGGTTAACGGAGGACGGATTCAGGTGCCCAAGCCCGATAGCCGGCGGGAGTGCCACGTCCTGTCTCGATCACCATAAACGGTAAGTAATGAATAGAGCTGCCTCCTCCCGACGTCTAATTTCTCCATCTCTATTTTGCGAATCGAATCTTCGTTTTTAGTTTTTACCTTGTAGAATTTATTGCGTACAGTGCCTCATGCAATTGCAGTTGCATATGCTGCTGCTCCAATTTCGAAGAGAAACCATGTCATCGGCACGAGGAAAAAGTTTCGAGTTTTTAAACAGTTCCATCCCGCATAAGGGTGCTTCAGATTATGGAGGACGCAGTGTTTTTTTTGTTGTTGTTCTGTTTTCAACTTGCACCCATTTGAAGTCAGAGCAGGTTAGCAATTGTCGGAAGCATCTTTCTTCACTGTTGTGTTGGATGCTACCATGACCTTTGTCCCCTGCTGGCCTCGATCGTCATGAATCATTTTCCGCTTTTGCCTTCAGATCGATTCCAAGGCATATCTTGAGACTGTCTGAACACGTGCCTCGGTCCTTTCCGCGAATGGCCACTTCATTGTGGGTAGATAATAGCATCATGTTCTACGCGGCAATCAAAAACACATGCAGGAATCATAGCCCGATGAGCGATAACCGTTTCCTCTCGCCTCACTTCATCGGGACGATATGAGGACGATTAAAATGATAGCGATGCGATGGGTGTCCATTCTCTTGATAGGGCTTAGGCTGTCAACATTCAGAAAAAGTAACTTGTCGAGGGAATCGGAGAATGAATGAAATCCACAAGGTGTTATTCCAACTCAGACGCGTCGCTGTGTCGTGGGAGCCCGTCACGCCCGAGACGAAGAGAGAGGCGATGGAAGCGTGCCAGAACGAGTGCTTCTACTGTCGCAACTGTCTCACGGAGGAAAACACGACAGTTGACAACCTCGTCAGAAAGTGAGTCTGCATCGGATCCATGACCACGATGAAGACCCCAGCTCGATCTAGCTATGGTTCAGGGAATTTTTATCGATACAGAGAATTGAGAGTTTCATTTCTTTCAGGAATGGACGCAACGTTGATCTAGTCGCATGCTGCCTCGACTGCAGGTTGAAGAAAGGCACGAAGTCGGCCAATAAATTCCAAACGAAGACCCTCTGGAAGACGCCCCGATGCCGTGGGTTCACAGAGGACGGATTCAGGTGCCCAAGCCCGATAGCCGGCGGGAGTGCCACGTCCTGTCTCGATCACCATAAACGGTAAGTAATGAATAGAGCTGCCTCCTCCCGACGTCTAATTCCCCCATCTCTATTTTGCGAATCGAATCTTCGTTTTTAGTTTTTACCTTGTAGAATTTATTGCGTACAGTGCCTCATGCAATTGCAGTTGCATATGCTGCTGCTCCAATTTCGAAGAGAAACCATGTCATCGGCACGAGGAAAAAGTTTCGAGTTTTTAAACAGTTCCATCCCGCATAAGGGTGCTTC